CGGTCTGGTTAGCGACAAAATAATGCCACCTGAAACCCTTAAGAAGCCGCTCAGTCTCGTGTTGCTAGGTGCTGACTTCGCGATGCAATCAGGGCGGGGAAGGAAGAGGTCACTGTGGCCTTATGACCAAGGCTGAAAGCGGGGGAGTGGTGAACATCAGAGTGGGCGCATTTCCTAGCTGCACGTTGGCAGGCAACACCAGGACGGGGTGCAGAGCCGGCCCTGGCCTGAGCGCCAATGAGGGGTGAGTGAGAGGAAGGCAGTTGTTGCTGACTGCACTCCTCTGCTGTGCTCGGTCCCTTACAGACACTGTGTTCTTTCATTCCCAGGGGAACCGTGGGGCAGGGGCTTCATTACCTGTGTGTGACAGATGGGGTTCAAAGAAGGGTCCGTTACCTGCCCAGGTGAGGCGCTGGTAATGGACGTGGTAGCCTTGAGAGCTGGCTGTTCAATGCTACATGAACATTGTCCTGAGTCTTCAAATGGCTCAACTGGAGGCACTTTTGGTTCCCTTTCCAGAGCTGGAGTTGCTGAATGGAAGCAGGGTGGGAAGGTTCTGGAAGGTGTACAAAGTGGTCCTCAGGAACTCTCTAAAACCATTGTACTGCTAGAGCAACGGGACAAAAACAATTGTCAACACAAACACACACATACAAGTAACTAACACACACAGGCGTGTGCACACACATGCTGAAGCCTGGAGACACTGCAGTGTCCTAATACATGCTTTCCCCAAAATGCTGGATTGGGGCCAGAAACCATAATAGCTGGAATACTTTGTGCGAAACCTCTGTGGCAGTGGGAAGAGTCAGGGGAAGGTCATTGAAGGATTATTTTACTTTTCATCCTTGTTTAATTAATGCTCACAGAGAAAGGGGGTGGGCTGAACTTGATCTCTTACCGCTTCCCCCGCCTCAAATCTGCCTGTTTTATTTTAAATAAACAATGACTGTGGTTCGGGACGCATGAACGACACATTTGGTTTTGAGGGAAATTTTTATTGTTGCATTGGAAGAAACTTAAAGAGTCCATTTTCCCCTCAAACTTATCTAGAGAGCTGCATTTCCTGAATAGCAAAGTAAAAAAAGTATTTCCCTTCTCGTGACTTATCTCCTTTTCTTTCAACAATAAGTCATCTTGGGTTATTTTTTTCCATGCAGGAATCAAAGGAGACCAGTAACAAAGGGAAGTGATGGGACACGATGATCTGGAAGCCGGGCCGTGGTAGGAGGCAGGCCCTCACGAAGAGAGCTGAGTGGGGTGCCTAGAAGCGGGGCACGGGGACAAGGGAAACCAAGTGTCCTCAAGATAAGGTGAGGTTGCAAAGACCAGGACATTGCTGGCAATTAATTAAATGGGGATCTTTTAAAATCTTCTTTCTTTTCTAGACACGAATTCCCCCAACCTAAAGCTCAGTCACCTCCTCAGGGTGCACGGCGGTCATTGGTTTAATTTGTCTACGTGAGATGGGGAAGGACTCATGCCTGTTCACCCCAGACCTCACACCGGACAGCATTTCCCCTCCTGCTGCACAGATACTGAGCTCCGCACAGAGAGGGCCCCGATGTATTTATTTGTTTGTATTTAATAAGCTTCATCTTTAGAGCACTTTTAGGTGCATAGCAAAACTGGGTGGAAAGTACGGAGAGTTCCCATATGCCCCCTGCTCCGACACATGCATAGACCCCCCCACTATCCTCATCTCGCCCCAGAGTGGCACATTTGTCCCAATCAGTGAGCCCACATCGACATGTTGTTATCACCCAAAAGCCCATAATTTCCTTAGGGTTCACTCTTGGTGGGGGGATGTTCTATTGGTTCTGACAAATACCTATGGATCCTACTTTCTTTTCAGATGCAGTTCCGTGAGCGTGTGTATGAGGCACAGTGTTGTAGTAGCTAGATAGTGACTGCCGGAAGATACCGCGTCCTGAAGAAACCGGCCCAGACATGTGGGTGGCCAGGGACAGTCATAAGGAGACAGAATTCCATTGGTGGGTATCTGAGTCTGGGTGGACATGATGGTTTCCAAGGTCCCATTTGTCTCCACGGCCTGTGGTTCTGTAACCTGGGCCAGACACAATCAGGACAGGCCTTGTGAAGGCATCGCCATTAGGGTGGCTGCTGGCCCATTCTACCCACTCTGCCAACAGGGTCCTTACACATGATTGCGGGATTCACTGTGTCCATATTTGTTGAATATGTCCCTCCACGCCCGACTTTTCAAAGATGATAAAACGATTGAAAATATGGTATAAGGTCTGCATGGTTTGTTATTGAACTACTAACTATGTATACCATTATTGATATAACAAGCCATCTGTAATATACAATATGACTGTGGTGCTGATTTGATTCCTCTTTACTGAGGAGCTGGTGACATTTGAGTCTGGGATGAGTGTGCCACGGTTCCCCATTTCTGGGCCAGCAGCGTCATTGCTGACTGGTCAGAAGGCCACACTGGGTCTCAGACCCCTCTCATCCATTCTGGGGTGGTGCCACCTGTCAGGCCACTGGGATGTGGAAAGCAGCGGGGAGTACCCTGAACCCCATCAATCTGCTTTTGGTGCCCCATTTGTTTATCACCCACTGATCTTTTATATCCTACATGTCTGCAACGAAAAACAAATCTCGTCCTGATCCCCAGGGCTGTCTAGCAAAGGCAGGAACGTCTCCGTCGTTTGTGCAGTGGCTCTGGGCTGCTGCTTTAAGGACAGAGCCTTTATCATCACCTTTTGCCCAGTTTCATTCCTGAGGAAGTGTCCTTCCCTCTACCATTTACCTTTTGATTTTTTAAAAATTGATTTCAGAGGGGAAGGGAGAGGGAGATAGAAACATCAAGAGTGAGAGATAATCATTCATCAGCTGAGTGAGAGATAATCATTGACCAGTTGCCTCCTGCACCCCCCCAACCAGAAATCAAGCTTGAAACCCAGGCATGTGCCCTGACCAGGAATGGAACCATGACCTCCTGGTTCCCAGGTTGATGCTCAACCACTGAGCCACACGCTGGGCTAGTATTTACCTTTTGAAAAGCTGTGGCTGGAGCTGCAACCCAGGGAAGGATACTTTCTCCTGCATCTATTGATCTCTGTCTCTCCTGGAGGGGTGCCAGTCCCAGAATGGGAAGGGTTTGTTCTTAGTAACAAAGGGAGAACTTGTGGTTTGAATAATGGCCTCGTTTTGCACAGAACAAGAGTCCTATGGCCCTTCTCCTTACTCACTAACGAACAGCCTGGCTGCAGCTGCCTGAGGTGTAACTATGAGACCATTTTTGGCTTTCCCATTTTGTGTTGTTCCATGGCTCCAGCTTCTCCCGATGATTCAAAGTGGCCTGCCAAGTAGGCACTGGTGCCACGTGGCACTCACTTTCTGGCAAGACCACTGCTCCTATTTGCGTGGTCAACTAACTAGTCCCCATGCAGCCGTCCGGTGATTGGACTCATCGCTGAGCCATTGGCTGCTCAGTTGTGCCAAACAGCATTTATTGAGCAGCTCCTCTTTGCCAGGCCCTCCCTGCAGGCTGGTCCCTGGGAAGCAGACTCTGAGATGGAGGTTAGCTGCAGGAAGTTTATTAGTGAGTGCTCTTGGGTTGAACACTGGAAAGGGGAAGGGAAGGAGGCAGGAGTGGGCAGAGGGAGCAGTGGGCTGCAATGCAGGCACAGGGCTCCGCTGACCCAGTGGCGAGTTCTGAAACTGGGATGACCCTCCAGGACTATTCCAGGCTCAGGCAGTGGGGGACAAGCCTTCTATTCCTTCACTGACTACTCACTGGGTGCAGCTGCCCTGGGAAGAAGGTGTGGCATTAGGCCAGGCAGATCTTTGCAGTGGAGGGCAATTTCTGGGGACAGGGACAGCACCGCCTGTAGCTGGGTTATAAGCACTCAAGGACGATCTAGGTGGCACAGCAAGGCCTTTCTCGCACCATGTTAAACTCATTCTATGCCTTTAAGGAGCTTCTTATCTGGATGGTGAAGTTAAACAAGCATGTGAATGACAGTGGCAGCAGGCAGATGGAGAGCCGAAACTCTGGGCATGTGCAGATGGAGGGGGTGGTGGTGGGGGAGGTGTCATATTGGCTTAGGGGGAGCATTTGAACTGGGTCTTGGAAAATCCTGGCATGCCTATCTTCCTGTCATTACCAGTCAAGGTAGCCCAACTGAAATATGTGGGCACAAAATGGGGCGTGTTTTACAGGGGCCGGTAGACCTGGATGCCAACCTAGATGTTCAGTCATTCCCAGGGCTGAGGAGTGACATCTGGCCATGCCCTGCAGCTCTGCGTGGTTTGCTTGTTTTATCTTCATCTCAAGAAGTTCCAGGAAATGTCACTGAAGAGTCAGGGCTACCGCTAATCTCAGGCCTCACTTCCTGTGGCCGCTGGACATGCCAGGGCATCAAAGGGACAGGCTGCATGTGCTCGGGCCCGGACCGTTACTCTGCTCGGGGCAAGAAGCACTAGCTGACGTCCCTGCAGGGACCCCTGTCTTTTCATTCCATGGCATGCTCCTGAGGAATAGAAGTTTCTGGAATGAGGCAAATAGCTCTGTACTGCCAAGGAAGGTGTGAAGGCAGCAGGTCAGATCCAGTGGGGAAGCCTGTGTATGAGCAGTGCCTGCATGGCAGCGTGTCCCAACACCTGCCTGCCCCTGAACCTCTCACCTTCTTCTCTACCGGGCTGACAGGAATCTCTCTCACTGGGCTCCTGCTAGTCTCAGACCTGTGACCAGAGCCATGGCAACGGCCTCTGACCCCATGGTCAGACATGCAGACTCTTGGTTCTTCAGATCAGCCGATGGCCCCATAGCAAGACCCAGCGCCATGGGATGGAGCAGACATGGATGATGGGATTGGTGTCTGTGTGTGTGTGCGCGCACACATGTGCATGCTCCTGTGTGTGTGCACATTGCTGGATTGCTGGCCTGGAGAGAACAGAATGCCCAGTCAGGGGAGGGGTGACCCTCTGCATCCTGGGATGGAGGTAGGGAGAAGACAGGAGAAAGAGGGATGGGAGAGGAAGTGGCCTGTGAAAATAGTGAACCCGGACTGAAGTCAGATTTCACCAGTGTCATCATTATGCCAACCAGTGGGGGATCCTCTCAGACGTGAACCAAACCCTAGCTCCTTCCCAAGATGAGATTGAGATGCATGGAGGCTTATTTCCTCTCTACACTGCTCTGGCATTTGCTGCTTCCTTAGCTTTTTGTCTTAAAACAAGGATTCAAAAATGCTATGAAAAGACACTGGCTAGCAGAAAAGGAGACTTTACCTTACACAACAGTGTCATTCTGAAACTGAATGAAGAGAAACATTTGCCATTTGGGTCGTGCAGTCAATATATTGGAGGGTCTGCTATTACCTGTGAAATTCTTAGGTGGTCTGCAACGGAGCCAGGCAATCATGTCACCCCCCCCCACCCCCACCGGCCTCCAAAACAACTGCGATGAGTGCACTTTGAGTATTCACAGCCCACTGTCAGCACCAGATGAGGATGGCTTGGAGGCCAGGTGGGGACTCAGGGCTGTGCATTCCCACAGGTGGCAGGAGCCACAGTGGGCTAGAGCCTGCGAGGACCCACAGGTAGTCTCCAGGCCTCCCTCTCCCCTTTCAGGTGTTCAGGCAGTGTAAAAACTGCTCTGCCAGATCCTCCACATCCCCTCTTCCATCTCTTCTTCCTCTGTGCATGTGATTGGCAGGGCCCGGAATCACATCCTGAACCTGGCTGCAAGGGAGTTTGGGAATTGTAGTTTTTATCTTTCTGATCTGTACACATCTCTATTTCAGGTCTAGATAGACAAATGCCCAATCTATATTACTGCCAGAAGAAGACAAGACCCAGCAGTGTTTGATTCCAGTAGTGCAAAGCTATGCAGTGATGTTGAGGGGCCAGGTCTGGGACATTGCAGAATGTGGCTCAGATGCAAAAGGACTTCGTGTGAATCACCTGTGACTTCAGCTTCGGTGGCCTTGGTCTTTAGGAAGGCAGGAACTCGGTCTCCTAGACTTTCTCTCCTCTACACTTGCTATTGGAAGAATTGGCTTGGTCTCTTGGTCATGATAGTCTAGGTGATGCTGGGTGATAAACAGCCTATGGCTATCAGTGGCTTAACATCAAAACGACTAGGCTTTCCATCTTATTTGTGTCATCTGTTCAGTGCAGACTGGTCAGGGATTTCAGAGTGACTCAGGGACTTGAGCTGGCCCAGGCAAACTGCATACTCATTTCTGCAAAGAAGGGGCATGTTGCTCCACCCATATTCCACTGGCCAAAGCAAGTCGCACAGCCCCCCTCACCTCAAGGGGTAGAAAGCGGAGTCCTCCCATTGTCAGGAGGACCCGAGAACCCACATAGGAACAGCACTGATTACCCCTGTGGGAGGTCGAGGGGAGAGTGGTGCCCCTTTCTATCCTCCCTTCCCCATCATGCTCCAGCGGGAATAGCTGACATTCCCCCATCACCATTTTTCTTTTCCTCCGGGCACTGAAAATTTCAACTTTAAAGACACTGATAACATTTTTACTTGAAAACAGCCTGTGAAACACCAGCAGTCTCCAGAGACAAAATTCGAATCCTGCTTTTCCTCAAGCACATCAGTGGTGCTGAGTCTGGCAGGATTCGGTGGGCTGGGAACGCTGTGTGTTTACTTTCGTATAAAATCCTATCTTCCTTGGTTAGAGAAGGAAGCCTGTAGGCACCAGAGGGAGACCCCAAGTTTCTTAGGTTCATCTCATGTGCCCGCCCTTACCCCAGGCTTTCTCTGACCATCTCCTCCTAAGTAAGTTTGAAGCCATTTCTGACTCTCATGTGCCCCCCAACCCCTTTTCTTGCATCCCCACCCCAGGTTCTGTCCTGGTCTCTCCTTGTATTATCAATGTTTGTAGAAATATTTCCCTAACTGGAAGGCTGTGAGCTCTTTGAGAGCAAGAACTTGGTCTGACCCATCTGGAGTTGTCCCTACTGCACAGATGGCATTTATTAAGTATTTTTCAATGGCTCTGAGAAGGAATCTCTATCTTGACCTTAGGGCCTCTTCTGGGGGAGGCTCTCAGGGTCTTCCGAGTGAAAGAAAGAACGGATGGATGGCTAGATGGATGAATGGATGAGAAAATTAAAGAGTAAAGAAATAAATATGTACAGAGACCAGTTAATGTCTCCTGGGGAAAGGAAACAAGCTTATTCTCCCCAGAAAGCTCTGCCAATTCTGATGAGCTAACACACAAACACAAGCTCTTGTAATGAGGGGACAGATGGAAGTGGGGATGTCTTAGGGCAATCTCTCGCCCCTCTGCACTCTGAGGCCCAGGCCCTGCCATGACCAACAGTGTCCCTGAACACAACTAGACTCTGGTCAGGTCAGGAGGTAACTCTCGGTGCCAGGAGCAGGCTTTTCTGGGGCAATGGTGCAGGGTGTGCTCCTCATATCTGACGACTTCTGTGACCCTGGCTGAGTGGTGCATGGGGACGGAGCCACAGCACAGTGGGGTCTGGAGGGATCCTTGCCTGTGAGACCGCTATGGCATGCATCTGCTTGCTATTAAATGTTTCCCAGCTGAGGCACACGCTCTCCCCAGGCCCCCGGAGCCAGCAAGAGGTCAGAAAGTCAAGGCAGCAAGAGCTAGAGGGACAGCCCCAGAGAAAGTGACCCTTAGCTGTCCCCCAGCTGTTGAGAGGAGCCTCAAGCACCATTTCCTCTTTCTCGGGAGATGGGAAAAGTGCCAACACAGAAATCTCAGGCCTCCTAGATCTCTCCAGGGTGGAGTCTTGGAGAAGGGAGGGAAGAGAGGCAGGGCAGGAAGGTGGCGCATGTGTCCAAGTGGCTGTGGGGTGAGGGGACTGACACCCCCTTCCTTCTAACATAAAAAGACAGAAACTTCACCCCCCTCTGCTGTCTCCTTCCCATTTTCCTTCAGCTCAAAGAGAGGCACAGAGCTGACCAATGGTCTCTGCGAGAGGAGGCTAGACCTCTTAGCCTTGACTTTCCTTTGCTCTTCACTTCGTGAGACAGAGGAATGTGTGGATGCAGAAGGAAGCCCAGAGGTTTGGGGGCCAACTCCACTGCAGAGTGGCAGGGAGAGGTGGTTCCACAAGGGCAGCCTAGGTAACCACTGGGCAGTCATCAGGCCAGTGGGATGCTGTGTGTGGATGCTGCCATGGCAGCCCAATCCCCTGCCAAAGGTACTACCAGGGATCCCAGGAAAGAACCCAGCCCCTCCCCCTGGCCGCCCATGGAATGATGCTCTGTGGCCAACCGGGTACCAAAGGATACATGTGCTGTATTAACATGAACACTAATGACAAATGCACTACAGTAGTGGGCACATCATAGATACATAGAATATTCTCTCTATAGTCTGAACATAGATATAAAATAAGTTATACTCGCTTTTGTTTTCCATCACAGTAGGAGCATAGCATACAAAGTGACTGGTTCAGTGGCCGTGAAGCAAATCAGGGGCGAGACCATGGAGGCGGGAGCAGGGCGTGGAGAACGGTGGGGATGTGTCGAGGACACTGCAGTTGCTGGCGGTCCTGCCAGGGACACCTCAGACCTCTGAGCTGTCCTTCTGAGAGTCAGCATGAGGTCCCACATCACAGAGTCTGTGACTGTATTTGCACTGGGATGACTCAGCTCTGGTGGGAGGTGGAGCAGGGACAGGCAGCAGCAGCATCCAGCAGGCAGGCCCACACTCCCGCTGATGCTGTGGGTCTGCGGCAATGTTAGGAACATGGGGCGCAGAGCCAGAAGGCACGGTTTGCTTCTGCGATGAGACAGATGGCCAGACTGATGGCCCACCAAGGGCTGCTGGCCCTTCCCGCTCACCAGCTGGCTCTGGGACGTGGAGGGGCCTGCTAGCTGAGCTCGCGCTCTGTGGCTGGTCGTGGGCTAGCGATGCTGAGATCTTTGAGGCAGAAGGAAGAGCGAGGCCCTGGCTCTGAATCCTTCTCCATCGTGTGTGACCTCTGGGACTTTGGAAGTCCCTTAAACTCTGAGTCTCAGACTCCTCGTCTGAAAAATGGGGACACCAATGCACACTCCCTTGGGGAGTGATGAGGGGCCCACGGGCTGATGCCTGTGAAGTGCGGAGCCCAGGTCCTGGCATACAGGAGGGGCAGGGTAACCGTGGTCTGGGCATCCACACGTCAGAGGTCAGGTGGAAACAATAGGAACCTCACAAAATCTGCGGAATGAAGCCACCTCCAACTGGCTTTGAGGAGAGGACGACAAGGCAGCTCTCCTGCTTTCTTTCCTGCCAGCTTTCCAACTCTTCCCTCTCCCTGGGATTCTTTGAAATAAAGTGTCGGGGGGAGGGGGCTGTGTGTGTTTCAAAGCCAGACTTGCCGAGGCAGATGGAGCCTGAGGCCGAAAGAAGGGAGTTCAGGGCCATGTCTCTTCAAGGCGGGGACCTGCGTTCAAGGCCGGGCCCTGATTCCCGGGGATGTCTCTCCTCCCCGCCCCCTCCTTGCAGCAGCCCCTTCCCACACACCTCCCGGCCTCGGAGCAGATTTCATAGTAGGAAACCAAAGACAGGGAGAAAGCTCAGAAAACAAAGTGAATTGTCTAGTAAGTGAAAAGTATTTCCATCTGTCCTGAGTCCAGGGAATGTGGAGGTGGGCGGGCCGTGTGGGCGGGGAACTACCTGCCTCTGCAGGAGGAGAGAGGAATGGAGACGGAGGCTTGGGAGCTGGGACCCTGTGCTTCTGCTGATGCTGGGAACTTGTGTCCAGCCTGGAAACCTGGGGATGGCTGGTCCCTCTCACCTGCTGCGCGGTTCTCTAAATCTATGCCCGTGAGTGTGTGTGTCCGCCTCTCCTAGCTCCTGTAACACCTGCCTGCTCTGAACCTCCTCCTCCCATCACTCGGCAACTTTCCTCTTGGATGGTGGCAGGAGGTGGGCGGGGAGCTCGTTGGGCAGCTCATGTCCCTCCAGCTTGACCTTGATGAGGTGGTTGGCCAGTGCGAACTCCTCGTCATCCAGCATGCCATCCTTGTCGATGTCCGCCAGCTTCCAGATCTTGCCCAGCACGCTGTTGGGCAGCTTGGAGCGCAACATCTCCTTTTTGGCATTGGCACCTGTGATCTTGCCGTCGACCGGTGACAGGGTATAGAAGATCTCGTCGTACATGGGCTTGTCCCTGATCACGATCCACTCAGCATCACCGATGCCCTCTCCAGCCCCCTCCCCGTAGCCGTGCCCGAAGGGGCCATGCAGGGTGCCCTCGAACGCGCCACCCTTCACTATCGGGGCGGGCCGCTGCGACTCCTCCTGGCGCACCAACACCATGAGCTGGGCAATGTCATGGGCCAGCATGTCATCCACCACCTCCAGCAGCTTGCTTTTCAGGGGCTGGAATTTGCTAAAGTCCTGGGCCTGGAGCTGGTCCTGGGGAGAGGGGGGAGAAAAGAAGGTGAGGCAGGAAGACAGTGGGAGGAGTGCCTTCCCCTGAGGGGGAGGCTGTCTTCCACTAATGCTGGGATGCCCACAGCCCTTTGGCCTGAAGCCAAACTGAGCCACATCGAAATCATAAAAGATATGAGAGAGGAGGAGGAAAGCAGGCACATTGTGTTGAGGTTGGGATTTTTCAGGAGAGAGTAGAACCGCTTCAGGGGCTGGGAAGGAGCGAGATGGAGCTTGGGGGTCTCTCTACTTTAATAAGGTTACACTTGAAAACACAGAGTGCTTTTACTACATGGTCTTATTCGCTCCTTTAGTGCCCTTCTGAGGGAGGGAAATCAGGAAAAACTGAGGCCAACGCAGCTAAACACAAATCATAATAAGAGCCCAGGGATACCCCTAACCAGCTGTCCTTAATCAGGATGCTCCTCAGAATCACCGGGAGAGAGTTTTCACTGACTGGCGCCCCTCTCGAAGCTCCTGACACAGTAGATGCAGTGGGCACGCAGATTTTGCAACAGCTCCCCTCCTTGCCTCCCCAGGACACCCCCGCCACATGGTAAGAGAAACTCGCTCCACTTTGCACCTTGTTGTGATTTTTTGAAAGGTCCTGAGTCTAGAACGCCCGGCTTCCCCTGGGCCTCAGGAGTGACGAGGTGAGAGCTCTCCCGCTCCCGCCCTGGCTAGGCCACAGCAACCTCAGGACCCGGGGAAGAGGCCAGAGCACAGGGATAGGCTGGGGACAGGCACCTCGAGTTCCTGCAGAAAAATTCCACCAACACCCACAGCTACATTCCAAGAGCGAGTGTTAGCTTGGGCGTTTCTCATCTCCCTTCAAGGACAGGCTGAACCAGGACAGTGGGGGCTGGGAGGGGAGGAGGGCAGGGGATGACCAGCTGTTTTCCTGCCCTCAGGGCATGACCTCTCAAGGTCCCTCGGGTCTCTGTCCACAGCTAGGTGTGTTTGGTGGGTTCCCAATATCTTCCAGGGGCACAGTGGCTGCTCCCCCTGCGCCCCATACATTCCCCCAAAGGACAACCACTTACGTTATTGATCAGCATACCTAATAGCAGGAGATGGACTCATTTATGTTGTGAAAGAATCTCTCACATTAAAAAGGGGGTTGTATGGTCCCTTTCAAACATCAGCTTCCCAAATGCTTGATTACAGATAATTAAATTCTTAATGGAAAGAGAAACTAAAAGTTGACCATGTTCCAGGGCACAGTTGATTGAGACACAAGTAACGTTAAAGTAATTTCTGAAGTTAGTGACAGGCTTGCGGTTGGCGGTTATAGGAATGAATGGAAACATGAACAAATGTATATTTTGAATGTCTGTTTTTTAAATCAGATAGGAAACTAAAAGTGCCTATTTGGGACTCTAGGGAGTTCTGAAACCCCAGTCTTGAGCTGAGAAACTAGTTCCCAGGCTTAAGATTGAAGTCAGCAACAAGAGCAAAATCAATATCACTGCTACGTCTGCGGCTGTTAGAGAATGTCTCTAATTCTCTGATTTTTAAAAACATCATATTTTGATATAATACAGAGCCATGAGAAGTTGCAAAAATTACATGGATAGGTAAGTCCCTTCTGCTCATCACCCAGCTTCCCTGGTGGTAACATCTTACTTCATTTCAAGGGCGAGTCTGTGCTGGGCTCTGTACTGAGTACCTTATAAGTACCTAAGGATGCTCACAGCATCCATAGCTGAGTATGTCTGGGGCCTTGACTTACAGATGAACAGACAGAGGATCAGAGAGGATTCAGCTGGTATGGGGAGGTAGTTTCTTGCTTGGACTGTGGGGACAGCTCCTGGCCTTTCTGTTAGCAGCCCATGGGAATACTACACTCAGAAAACTGCAGGCAGTTAACTGCGAAGATTAGTTATCTTTGTATATTGCAATTTGCTAATCCATCAAAGGACGATGAAAACGCCTTCTGCAGAGGGCTGATTTGGGGAATGACATGAGTCACCATGTGTGATGGTCCCTGGCTCAAGAGAGGGGCCTGTAGTGGGCTCCAAAGATGGCACGCTCCTGTGCAGACTTCTTCTCCATGGCCTAGGTCCCCAGCCACTCCTACATACTTGAGGGCCTGGAGAACCTTCATTAGGTGACTTGTCCTATTTCACAGGACGTGGTGGCTGTGACTAGGGAACTGGAGCTACAGATCCCAAACACCATGGGACACCCCTGTCCTACTAGGATCGCTGGGGCTCCACATTTCTCTCCAGCCCCAGAGATGACACCTGCTAGGCCAGTGACAGCACCAGGAAGGACAGACCTAGGGCATCGCCTCCATACTCAGGCTGCTCACTGCCCTTTGTCCTGGAGCCCCAGACCCTGGTTACCTGCATCCTCTTCAGGTTGGGAAAGTCCCCAGGCGAGATCTGGTGCTCCCTCTCGATCCGGCCGTAAATCTCGGCCAGGTTGTTCACCAGCTCCTTCTTCTTGTTGTCCTTCCCGAACACGGTGGGCATCTCCTTCTTCAGAGAGCTGATGATGTAGGCATGGACCTGAGAAATGGGCAGAGAGGACGCTTCTGATCAAGACCTCGATCCATTCCTTCCTTCTTGGTGGCTCGCATCCATCTCTTCCCATAAACCCCTCCTCCTCCTGCTCCTGCTTCTGAAATAATTTCTGTCCACCCTCTTGCTCTCACACTTCCTGCAGCACTGAGCTGTTTTTCTAGATCTCGGGAAAGGCGAGATTGTGGGGAGGTTAAGGCCAAGGCAATAGCAGGGATGGTAATACTGGAGATGATGCTGATGAGGAAGACAACAATAGCTAACATTTACTGAGCACTTGTGAGGACACAGGCATGGCAATAAAGGGTTTTACATTCTTATTCTACTCTATCCTCCAACCCTTTCATTTCACAGATGAGGAAACAGGAGATGGAGGGCCTTGCTGGGGGTGGGATCAGTTTATAAACAGCGGAGTGGAACTCCAATCTGGCCATCTGACCCCAGGGCCTGTGATCCTATCAACCCCCGTATGCTGCCCCCTGGCTGCCAGTGTGGGCATGGCTGAAGCTCATGACGCAGTAGCTACAGAACATGCTCCCATGGGCAGGCAATGCTCAAGGTTGCAGGTAGCTCTTGCAGCTGACCTCCCTGCCCCCAAACACTTGGTGCCACCCATGCTGCCCATCCCCCCCAAGGGCGGCCTCACCTTGGCCAGCCTGGCTCTCTTGATGAGGTCATTGAGCTTGCGCAGGGCAGCGTTTCGGGGCAGACTCTGAATGTCCTTGAACAGGTCCTGCTCCTCGGCCTCAAAGAGCTTCCGGTTGTCAGGGATGAGAAGCGGGTGGGACCAGAAGGAGCCGATGTAGACCCGGATCACCTCCGGGGTGTTCACTATCTTCCCCAGGGACCACATGAGAGCCCCGTACACCCGCATCAGCTGCTGGGTCTCGATCTGGTCGGCTTTGTTCAGCACCACCCGCATCTTGTCCTCGTGGTTCTTGAGGGCCTTGATGACTTCTGAGAACTCATCAGAGATGTCCAGCTTGTGGGCGTCAAAGAGCAGGATGATGCGGTCAACCCGCTCGGCGAACCACTCGAGGACGGCAGCAAAGTCATACCCTGCAGGCAGAGCGACAGTCAGGGGGAGGGGCATTTGGGGCACAGGCTAGGGGTTTGGGGAGATGCACCAGGTGCAGGAGAAATAATACCATCTTGGGAGTCAGATCTGGGTTCAAATTCTGATTCTTCCACTGTTTTTACTATTTGGCCTTGAGCAAGTTACTCTGTGTCTCCAAGTCAGTGCGTTTTCATCGATCCATGGGCATACTGATAGTACCTCATCAAGAGAACTATAAGGACTAAATACACGGAAAGCCCAGCATATAGTAGCTGCTCAATAAATGCTAATTATTATTAGCACCATTAGTCCTATTTAGTCTTTTGATTCGGGGAAACCGGCCCTCTCCATCAAGGAGCAGGGCCTAGGAAAGTGCTTTGGGGGCCAGGCTCTGCCCAGTGACCGGGCAGGGATAGTATCAGTGCCACCTAGAAACAGTCACCCAGTGACTCATCCAGGACCACCCTGCTTGTAGGAAGCAGTGGTGGGGCGCGGTACATAGCTCTCTAGCCCCAGCTCCAGTGCTTGCTCTGGCTGGCAAGATGTTTACAGCTTGACTTCATTTCACACTCACAGCACTCTTTGAGGTAGGTGGGGTGAGGAGTATCATTGCCACTTTCCAGAGGAGGAAACAGGTTCAGAGATGAGGTGAGAGTTAAACAGCAGGCAAGGGGTGGGGCCAGGACTGCACCTGGCCAACGGGTCCCTGTGCTCCCTGCACGTGCCACGAGGACAGCAGTCCAGCACCTGGCCCTGTCTACCTGCTCTCCCCTGCCCTGCCCTGCCCTCCCTGCTGCACAGGCCCAGCCAGCAGCTCCTACAGAGCCTGGGAGGCCTGTGCATTCCCGTTCCAGGTAGGCCTGCAGTGCGCAGCCAGTACCTGCTCCCCTGCCTGTGCCGCCCCAGAGATAGCTCCTGGCTATTTCTAATCATCCCTGTGGCATAGCCTGGTACACTGGTTGCTCCCACCTCCCAAAGGCAGTCCTTCAGAACTGTGGGCAGGAAGGGGGCAGAGGGATCAGAAAATCAGGGCAACCTCCAGGATGGGTGTTTAACCCTTGGTACGCAATTAAATTCAAAATATTGTGGAGTGTGGAGACGGTTTCCATTTTGGATGCATGGCAGTGAACTGGCTAATTGTGGCCTAGACTCGGCTTATGTACAGCCAGGAGTGGGAGCAGCTGAAAGGCAGGTGCCGGAGCCAATACGGAAAAGGGCATGGGACTGGCTCTCCCATGTATTCACTGTGTGGCCTTGGGCAAGTCTGAACCTCAGTTTTCTCAGCTATAAAATGGGGATAACAACTGACTAATGAGGGGTCAGTGGCAGAAATACGGCAACAGGACCCGACTGCAGAGGGAGGGCCTGTGCTGAGTCTGGAGGCTCTGCCCCAGTGCTTGGGGTGGACAGGACACCAGTGACAGGCCCCCTCTCCCTCACTGGTCCCAGGAATGGCTCTCAGACCCATAACGAGAGCTTTAGAGCGCCTGCAGCAGCCTGAGGCTCGTGACATAAGACATGGCTATGGGTGGGGGAGATTCAAGCCCCAAGAGATAGAGGGCGAAGCTGGCCTTCCTGGAATTGCTTATAGCAAGTCCGCTGGCTCCAAGAGACCTGGACTGCAGGCGCCCGGCCCAGAGACTGGGCAGCCTGCAGGGACCCGGGCCTCTCCCCACAGCCCCCAGGCTCCAGCCGACTGGCAAGAGAATATTCCTAAGTAATGCCAGGCAGGCGGAAATCAATGAGACAAACCCAATAAGCAAGGCAGCTCCTTAATGACCCACTGGCTTCCTTCGCAGTCTAAAGAGAAATGCAGGGGATAAGGCAGCACATTTGCCACGCAATCTCATTGATCCTCATAACTCGGCCGATGCCAGGGGTTAACAGGGCATGCACATCTTACAGGGAAGGGAGAGGGAACAGAGATGTTAAGGGGCTGGCCCAAGCTCACACAGCCAGGTGGTGGCAAACTTGGGACGAGAACCCAGATCCTGGACTCTTGTCCACCTTCCCTTCTTGCTCAGAGCCATGTGCCAGGCTGAGCCCAGAGGGCTGAGCCCTCAGAACAGGCAGTTACTTATGGTCCTGCTCTGCCTCCCCCCAAATCTCTTTCAAGATTTAAAATAAAATAAAATAATAACAAGGCATCGAGTTCCAAAAAGTGGGAAGAATTGAGATGACTACGGGAAACAAATGCCACACTATATACCTTCCAGAAGAAGCCTGCAGGCTGTCAGCAAGCCCTTTGGAAGGCATCGGGACTCTCCTGCTGCCCCAGTGTGAGGCCCAGGAGGCCCCTAAGTGCCGGCCCTGCTCCAGCAAGGGTGCCAGGGACGGGCCAGGGCTGTGAGAGTCAGCCCAGACCCTCCAAGGTTCCCCAGGGGATGAGTCTGTCTTCATGCCTACTCCCCACCTCCATGAAAATGGGCTGAGAAGCCACTAGACTGGGAGTCAGGAGGCCGGAGTTCCCATTGCAGTGTTGAGACCTGGGCCAGGGGTTCACCTGCTGTAGAGCTGCTGAGCTCACCTGTGCAGGAAGGGGCTTACTGAGCGGGATGTTAGCTCCATGTCTGGGGCGGGGGGGGGGGGGGGGGGGGGGGGGGGAGGGTCCCCAGACCTTGTGCCAATCCTGGCTCAAGGGCCAGGGTGGGGAAGGGGCAGTGTGTGTGTGTGCTTTTGCAGGGTGGGGCCGGTGGGGATTTCTAACTGAGCAGCCGGGAAATGCGGTTCCCCAGTGAGAGGACACTCAGGCTTCCGGGACCCACCCACTTCTGTTGCTTCCTTGCTCCTTCCCAGTAATGAGTCTGGGCCGGGCACATCCTGTCACTTCCCGGAATGCCTCCCTGCCCCTCTGCTGCCCACCTAGTGTGTCTCCATCCAGAGACAACTGCTGCGCGTGACCTCCCAGGCCCAGGTTCTGGGGTGCCCCCCCGCGTTCTCCCACCCTGCAAGGCACCTACCCCCAGCCTGGGCAATGGGGCCACACCCTAAGCAAGGACCACACTTTGTCCAGCTCTGGGCAGGGGTCTGAGTCCTCCTCCTGTGAAGCCTGAGGCCTGGGGAGCCCTTGAGAGCAGGTCACTTTCCACATGGGGCCCAGTAGAGGCTCTGCCAATGTCACAATGGCGCCTTTTTTCTGGGAGACACAGCCCTGTGCCAGGCACGAGGCTTGGACGCAGCAGAATGTGGCCTGGATTTTAGGCTCCCCACACCCCTGAGCAGGGTTGGGGGTTCTGCCCTGGGCTGGCTGAAGGCACAGAAGAAGTGCCTATCTGCCCTGTGACCAAACCCAGAGCTCTGAGGGCCCCGACCACAGCCAGATAAAGTGCGTTTGGTTCTATGTACACACTTGGGGTCTGTGTGTGTGTGCACATGTGTATATGAGTGTGGGTGTTTATGTGTGGATGTGTATATGAGTGTGGGTGTATATGAGCGTGGGTGTATGTGTGTGTATGTGTATATATGACTGTAGGTGTATATGTATGTGGGTGCATATGAGTGTGGGTGTTTATGTGTGGATGTGTATATGAGTGTGGGTGTATATGAGCGTGGGTGTATGTGTGTGTATGTGTATATATGACTGTAGGTGTATATGTATGTGGGTGCATATGAGTATGGGTATATGAGTGTGGGTGTATATGTGTGTGTGGATGTGTGTATATGACTGTGGGTGTATATGTGTGTGGGTGAATATGAGTGTGGATGTGTATATGAGTGTGGGTGTTTATGTGTGTGGGTGCACATGAGTGTGGATGTGTATATGAATGTGGGTATATATGTGTATGGATGTATGTATGAGTGTGGGTGTATATGAGTGTGGGTGTTATGTGTAGGGGTGTATGTATATGAGTGTGGATATATATGTGTATGGATGTACGTATGAGTGTGGGTATATATGAGTGTGGGTGTATATGAGTGTGGGTGTATATGAGTGTGGATGTACATGTGTGTGGATGTGTGTATATGGGTGTGGATGTGTATATTTGTGTGGGTGTGTGTATATGAGTGTGGGTGTATATGAGTGTGGATGTACATGTGTGTGGATGTGTGTATATGAGTGTGCATGTTTATGTGTGTAGGTATAAGCTGGAGCCTCCAGCTTCTACGGCTCTGTGAGGAAGGAGGAGGAGGGACTCTGCATACTGGAAACCCTCCTCATTTGGGGTCCCCTGACCTCTGGGAGTGTGTGATCCTCCCTCCCCCGATTTCCTGGTCTCCTTGGAGAGCTGAGTCAGCACTGCCCGGGCTGATGATGCAGTGCTGCGGCCCAGCTCCCAGCTCCGGTTTCCACCACAGGCTGCTTTGCTAGCAGCTGCACTTGTAGTCTGGACGCGGGAGGGCAGCGAACAAACTGGCCTGGGCACCACTCATGGGGCATCACTTCTCCCAGAGGTGGGGCTTGGTCACGTGAGATGGGAGAGGATAGGAAGATGGCCAAGCAGCCAATCTGCACAGGGCAGCCGCTGAGGCCTGAAGATGAAGGCAGGAGAGAAGGCAGAGGGGTAGAGGAAGCCCGGAATGGGACAGGAGCTGAGGAAAGCAGGGATCCCCGAAGCAGAGCGGCCACCCACAGCTGCACCGGCTGTGCACCCACAGCTGCAGGGAGGCCATGCACACAGATGATCCTGGGGCTGCGGAGCGGTGGCCCTGGCTGGCAGGTCGGGGAAAGGAGGGAGCGCTCTGAGATCCAGACCCAGAGCTGATGCCATGTGTCCATGACCATCCGTGCACCTCACAAGGTCATACGATGGGTCATTACTCCTCGTTACACATGGGAACAGTGAGACCCAGGGGGACATGTGACCTGTTGAAAGCCCCGCAGGTTCTAAACCCCCATTTCTGAACTTGAGTCCAGCCTCCTTGGAAACTTCCAGACGCACCTGTCAGGTGGCACTGGCCTTGCAGGTGCAGGCCACCCACCTTTAGGGACTGAAGTCTGGCTCTCCGGAGCCACCTGTAGGAGACAGGCTGCCCGTGGGAATCAGTGCAGCCTGGGGGAGCGTGTGCTGGCCCTGGCAGGCTGTGACCAGGCGGAGGGGGTGTCCGAGCCTCCTGCTGCAGCACGGGCAGCCTGCAGAACACACCTGTCTGTCTGTCTGGTCGCAGAGCACAGGGGCCGAGGGAAGAGGACAGCCAGCTAAGGGTTCAGGCGAGGCGAGAGTCCAGCCACTGCCCAGGCCAAAGCCGTTCCTTCCCGGATGCTGACTGCCGAGTGCTGATTTGGCTCTAGCCCAGCTCCCAGTTTCGCTATCGGACGGGTGTGCCTCGTCTGCGTTTCTCGCCAGAGATACAGGGCACAGAGAGGGTAGGGCGTCACCCGGGGCACACAGCACGCTGTGGCTGGGGAGGCTGGGGGTGAGGAGCCGGGAGCAGTTGTTTTTAGCTTTAAACAGCATCGGTCTAGCTGTAAAAGGCAGTGATGATGATGGTGAGGATCTATAACACCTCATGCTAACTGGGCACTGCTATGTGCCAGGCAGAAGGCTCTTAATCTGTATTATTTCTTTTAATCCTCAAACAACCTATCCGGTAGATAGAATTATTTCTCCCTACTTTACAGCTGAACCAACCAGAGCAAACAGACCTGCCCCAGTTCACGCCGCCAGGAGGTGGCAGAGGCAGGCTTGGAACCCTGGCAATCTGGCTCGAGTTCCAGCTCCTAACCACCCTGGGGGCGGCCTCCCTCATGAGCGGTTACCCCCTTTCTGTCTGGAGTGAGCAGTTTTCAAAGTGCTCTCACATCCCAGCTCCCGTTCCCAGGCCCGGAGCATGCTGTCCTCAGGCTGTGGAGCTGAAGTTCTCTGCCTCACCCACTGCCCCTGCAGGGCTGCAAGCTCCGGGCGGAGACTGCAGGGACTTCAGAGGCAACCAGGGTCCGGCCCGCGTTAGGTGTTGCTTGGAGCATGAATAACCTCAATGAGGGAGGAAAGGCAGATACTGATGTTTCCCTTTTACAGAGGAGAAGACAGAGGCCAGCTCTCTCCTGAGCCACAGTAGACCCACCCTTGTCCCCTGGCCACTGCCTCGGACCATCCCATACAGCACACAGGGCAGCACTGGCTCATCAGGGGACAGCAAGGCCCTGGAGGCCTCGCTCCTGGTACGGAGGCGAGAGAACATACCAGGAAGAACAGAGCACAGAGCAGCTGACCCTACCTCGGCTGATCCTCTGCTTCTCCCCAGAGAGGATGCCCGGCGTGTCGATGATGCTGATGCTCTCCAGCACGGGGTTGGGCAGCTGGGCGCACACGAACCTGCAGGGGTGACAGGAGTCCGGGGTGAGCCACTGTCCTCTCATGGCCTCTCACACACCCTTGTTTCAGCCGCATGCCCACCTTCCCTGCCTGGGGGCAGAGGCTCAGAAACTTGGCTGCTTTCCCATGCAGACGCCCAGCTCCAGGTCAGACTTAGCCCCAATGCTGGGCCCAAGACCTGTATGCTGAGGAAGCTCCCGGGGGATCCTGGGCAGCCAGGGTCCTACATTGTGACCCCTGCTGTCAGGGACACCAAGATGTCCAGAACTCGAGCCCTGCTCCCAGAGAACCCAGTCTGGCGAGGAGAGGAGGCATGCACGTGGGCAACCCGAGGGAGGCCAAGCGAAGGGTTGGGGAGATCCAAGGTGGAGAGATGGAGTCCAGGACAGCTTCCTGGGGGAGGCGGCACTGGAACTGGCCTTGATGAAGGGGTCACACCACCCAGAAACATTTGTTTATGCCTCAAAGGGCTATCCAAATATCAAACTTTGCTATTAAGATAGCAGTCAAGCCTTATTCAAGGAAACATTTATAGTGTTACATCCTGGAGTCTCAACATACACGCTGGTAAACCTAACTTAGATCCTTCTTACTTCAGCCTTCTCTCTCATGTGCCATTTTTGGTGGAAGCTAAAAAGGTGTCTTACTCTCCCACATATATTATGTGAAATGGCAGAGATGCAGGACACATGGGAAAAAAAGAGGGGGAGGGCTTCACAGAGGAGGCCGAGCTTGAACTAAGACTTCAAAAGATAATCAGCATTTGCCAGGCAGATAAGAGTGCAGGCAGGAAGCGTGTGTGTGTGTGTGTGTGTGTGTGTGTGTGTGTGTGTGTGTTTATCAGTGGATGGGTAGTGGAGAGAAGACAGTACTCCAGACTGAGATAAGGGGTAACAGTGAAAGAGCAGTGTTATGGGTTGAATTTTGTCCCCCAAGGAGATCTGTTGAAGTCCTAATCCCCAGGGGGTCTAGAATGTGGCCTTATTTGGAATAGGGTCTCTGTAGATGTAATTAGTTAAGTGAGATCATATTAGAGTAGCATAGGCCCCTAACCCAATAAAACTGGTGTCCTTTTTAAAATTAAGTTAGGGTAACACTGGTTAATAACATTATGTAAATCTCGGTGTAAAATTCTATAAAACAACACTCTGTAAGATAAGAGAACACATGTGAAGACAGACATGCACAGAGGGAAGACGCAGAGGTTGGACTCATGCTTCTACTAACAAGAACACTTGGGCAACCAGGAGAGGGAAGAAGCAAGAGAGGATGCTCCTCTAGAATCTTCTGAGGGAGCATGGCCCTGCCATACCTTGGTTTCAGCTCTGGCCTCCAGAACTACAAGATAACACATTTCTGTTGCTTTAAGGCACCAAGTAGCAGCCCCAGGTAACCAATAGAAGTAGGTGCAAACGCAGCACAGAAATGAGAGAGAGTGTGCAGCGTTCCTGTGGGTACACATCACTGAGGTGAGGACAGGAAGGCTGGAGTGGCCAGAGATGAAGCTAGACAGGGAGGAGGCGGGAGGCCAGATCACAAAGGGCCTTACATTAAAATTTTGGATTTTATACTGAAGGCAGCAGAAATGGGTTCATTGGAATGTTTTAAGCCAAAGAATGACATGATCAGATATGATGGTTGTCAGCATGTCCAGTTCAGTTCCACAAATATTTATGGAGTGCCTGCTACATGCCTGGCACTATCCCAGATAAGGGGGGTAGAACAGTAAGTGACACTGCCCCTGTCCTGTCGAAGCCCATGTTGTCCATTACACCTGAGACCCAGCCACATTCTGCTCCTAGGGTTCTATGGCACACCCCAGTGTTCTACCATACACCCCCCATCTTGCTGAAGCTAGTTTGAGCTGGGTTTCTGCCATTTGGTATTTGGGGCCAGGACTGTGGCTGAGGCCAAACCCAGGCCAAGCATATGGAGTAAGAAGGGCAGGGGGTGATGATGGGCCAACTAAGAGTGACAGCAAATCATCAGGGCCAGAGAAAAAGCGGACACAGAGGAGACTGGATGCAGAGAGGGCCTGGCCAGGGAGGCAGGAGGAGAGGGGATGGTGGTCAAGAGAGACAAATTCCAAAGAGGTAATGTAAGGGTGGAAAGAGGCCCTGCTTATGATCACTAAGAGGTCACGGTGACCTTCACACAAGCAGCTGTGGTAGGGTGAAGCTACATTCCACAGGCTGGGAAGACACGAGGAGATGAAGCCAAGAAACTTGGCTGTGAGGAGAGAGAGAGAGAGAGAGACCTGCTGTAGGGTTTTCAAGAGGAGATTTTCGTGTGAAGGGAAGGAGCCAAGGCAGGGTGAAGTGGTCAGAAGGAGAAGCAGTCACTGATAGGGAGGGTCCCTGAGAAGATGTCCCGTAGCCCAGGACATGATGTGGCAGGAGTTAGACCTTGTGAGGACAAGAGAAGCCACAGCTCTCTATGCCCCGGGTGGAGGGAGTGAGGACAAAGGCAGATGAACTTGTTTATGGGTAGACTGAACAAACAACGAGATGGATCTGGGTACACATCACTGGTTCCCAGTCTCTCTAGAAGGGAAGGGAGGCCAAATGCTATAAGAAGGAGGTGAGGTGATTGGAGAAGGGCGGGGATTTGACGAGGGACAAGGTGTAGGCTGCTGTAGGCGGGCTGAGGGGCACAGAGATGGGCACCCGAGGTCTGGGGTGCAGCCTCCTGTGAGTAGCTGCAGTGAAGCTGCCCCCCTCTCCTGTTGCCTCGCCATGGACATGCCTGGCAGATCCCCAGCCCATGGTCAGAAAAGCACGAAGCTTCTCCAGTTCTGGTCACAGGGCTCCTGCATAAGCCACATTCTCTCATTCCCCTCTGGGTGGAATGTTGTTTGCCTGGAATGTTGGTTTTGTTGTGCTTTTTTTTTATACTTTCAGTGTCACCTCGCTCATCTTTGATCACCCATGTCAAATGCCAACTTCCCACAAGACCATCTCAGTGCTCTTGCCTCGAAGGAGGGTATTAGTATTATCCCATTTCACAGCCG